TATCTATCTATCTATCTATCTATCTATCTATCTATCTATCTATCTATCTATTTATCAGTCATTCTCCTACAAATAAAACGACCGCCGTTATCATTGTATACACCAGGTTAGATTTCAGTTTTTAGTTTTAGTAAGAGTTTTAGGGCAGTTACGACACACTAGGTCATATAAGCATCCGCTTTTTCCAATTGAAGCCCATTAGTCGCTGCATAGGTTTAACTCCCACTTTAAAATTATTTTAAGAGATCGAAACTCCACATTTAACATTCATCTCCGACAGGACCAAACCAAATCGTGGGAAAGTCTTAAACACTACCCAAATCAACCCTAATTCAAGACGCTCAGTTGGGGATTCAAACCACGACCTTAAACCCGATGGTTCAAATTGATTCCCCTTAGCTCTTTCATTCGTGAGTGGTCGGCGGTTGTTTTGGTTTGGTTTACTCCTTCTATCCTATCAAGCATCTTTTGTCCTTATCTCTCCCCCTTCTTTTCTTTTTATGTTACTTTCCAATAATACCTCTGATCTTTGGCGCGTGTTTGGGCTATTTGTGTTACAAGTGTCGTCAAACTCTCACAAAAAAACAACCCCCAAAAACCCCAAGAAACAAAAACCATCAAAATTCCTAATATGAGAGAACCTATTTGTGTTGCAGGTGCCGTAAATCTTTTACGTTAAATCAAACTAGATATTTTTTCTATCTCACATAAGAAATTGTGTATATAGTGGGTTTTGTCATGGCGCCCGTCTCTCAGTTTATTCAGCTTCCCTGACCCGGCCCCGCTGTGCTAATGTGAGAGGACTCAGGGAGAGGAGGTACCTTGGTCGGGAAAACACACTTTACAGGTTGCTTGTTGGAAGGATGTGGGGAAGAAGAGCCAAGGGAAGACAAAGTAACTTGGATGGACAAGTTCTGGACAACATAAAATCATGAACTGGCCTGGATATGGCAGAATGTACAACGGCAGTGCGCGACCGCGAAGGATGGAGGGTCATTACACGTCAACCTCTGAGTCCAAAAAGACTTTTCCAGATGAGAATAAGGTTGCTTGTGGGGCGAGGTCCGCGGGCGCCTTCTGTGAGTGGCGTCTGAGGCCTAGTGGTAAGGCTACCGGACCCGCCGTAATCGTGAGATTGTGGGTTTGGGGGTTCGAGTATCAGCTCTGTCCGATGTTGCGTCCTTGGGGAAAGGCACTTAAATTTACACGAATTTCCCATTTGGCTCCGTCTTTCGGAGATGGATGGACGTTAAGCTCGGAGATCCGGCCTCTTAAATAACCTAATAGTGTTGATACTTACTTTTACTTTTTTATCCTCTGTTGCCATTAAGCGTCGATGGGAGATGCAGTTTTCTATGCTAGGCCAGCTCCGCAGCCTTTTCAGTTAATAGTGTTAATAGGGGCGTTAAACCTATACCATTTCACCATATTCCCTGGTGCCTTCCGCAGAATTGCTTTCAAAATTGTGTAAGATGGACACATATTGACAAGAAGAAAAAAGCGAATATCTTACCCAGATGACCGTCGTATACAGTGGCATTATACTTTTTTGTAATTGCAAGGAAGGGGGAGGGGAGAGAGAAAAATGGGAATTGGCCGTTTGTACTGGTGATTGTCTTAAACAGGGGGCTGTTAGAGTGGGCTCGACTGTTGAGATGTTCATTTTCCCAAAATAATAATAATAATTAAAAAAAAGACGTCATCTAGTTAGTATAACGTTGGGTACGTGATATGTTTGCTATAGTCAACACAAAGTTAGCTTTGATAAGAGTGTTACGGAGCTCGTAACTGCTTAAGTTCATATTATGAGCGCAATACAAAGTTCTGAAAAAGTAGCTATTTGTAACGTTACATTGATGAAAAAATTTACTGTTAATCGTTGTAACTATTTTACGACCAAAATAATACAACTCTTAGGAAACCACAGTCTCTTAGGATACCATAGTTCTATTGCGCTTCTTTTTAATTTTCACTGAACGTAGATAATTAACATAAAAGAATATGTAGAATGAAAAATTCCGTATGTCTCATGTCGACGTTTTTACGTTAAAGATCCCTTGGTGCTTCGAAAATCGAAAAGAGCAGGTCTCTCGGAGCACCGTGAGGGTTATAAATCAAACTTACTCAAAAACTGACGCCAGTCTAAGTATTGTAAATATAACTAGCGCCTTCGAAAACAGGACACAGCTTTCTGTCAGGCAAAATATGGTCCGAGGTTCTATGTAGATAAAAAGGCCATGTGCGTAAAATTCAACTGTTTTGCGAAATGAAAATCCTATGCACAGTCAGTTACCTTCTGAGCTGTAGCAGACGTACGCAGAAAGAAAATCGAAAAAAACCCATGCTAACACAGTTTCTCCAACGGGGAATCGAACTGGGATTTCTTTCTGTGTATGCTAACGTTGAAGAGCCTGGCAATTAGGACATACATCATAGACGCCGGTGAGAAGCTCCCAGCTGTGACCAACAGCGAAGACTTCCAACGGTCCGGATCATGAATCGGCTCCACCTCATTTCAGCGCCACTTAAACGTCTTTTGTTCTTATAGATCAAAGGAGTGGATAAAGTTAGATTACTTCAGTATCATTTCAACGCGTGATTATGGATACTGTTTTTCTTCTTCTCACATCATCATCGATACCTAGTTTTGTTAGTACCGATTAGATTTCGTGAACAAGCCCACAAATATTTACCGTCTGCGTTACAGACTTCGGGCTGACATTTATGATGAGTAGTTTTGTCGAGAAAAAAAATAAGACGACACTCATAAATAATTGAATTACCGCATTATAAATGTTTCTAGGATTGAAAATGTTACGGCTGGAAATTTGTTGGATGAAAATTTGTTGAGCAGTGATTAAAAATTCATAATTAAATCGTGTCTATTTACATTTAGCTGGTTACATCTGCGTCGACATTAGTGGAGATAATTGTGCCTTTCAATGATTCATAAAATATACTTTGGGAGACTGCTTACTGTTTGGAATATTGAATCCATATATATTCCATACCAAAATAAATTATTTTTTCGTATACGAGTATTTTGTAACTGTGAAATGAGTCGACGTCAACGGCGAAAGAATGAAGAGACTTAAGGATTTTTGATCTTCGAAATGTGGTGTCACCAAAAATCAGCTTAGGGCTTTCGTGGCTTAGAGGATAAGGTGTTCGCCTCTCACTTAATAGGTCCCGGGTTTGAATCCGGATAACGACAGAAAATTTTCTTTTCTAATATTGTCTCCTTACACATCCTTTCCTGCTCTCTAACAATGCTCTGTCGTCTACTTTCGTCTCCACTTTCTGCCCCCAAAAAGTGCATTCTTCAGCATGTATTTTTGTTTTTTTGTTTTGTTTTTGTTTTTGTTTCGTATTTTTCAAAAAGATCAGACATTCGATATACTGCAAAAAGAATAATGTGTATGGTTTCAAAGCCCTATCAACACTATTAGATTATTTACTTAAAGAGAGAGAGAGAGAGAGAGAGAGAGAGAGAGAGAGAGAGAGAGA